TCTTAAGATAATGAGTTCATTATCTTGTAATCTCAAGATAACAAAGTTGCTATCTTGAAATAACAAGTTACTTATCTTGTTATCTCAAGTTAACAATCCAGAAAATTATAGCAACAGCTCATGGCCTCTCCGGACTTCCGTAGAATTATGCTTTATTATACTGGTTTCATTTTCACTCTTGTTTTCAATGTGTGTTTTGGGTTTTTGGCCCCAAACAGTTTGTAAATGTTGTCAGTTTCTTCATTATTATTTTCATAACTTACACTACACCTCTAAAAATGATGGCTCTTCAGGGGTTCTTTAGCAAAGAAAACCATAAACATGTATATAAAACCATAAACACTCAAAGAACCCTTTGCAAGGTTAAAGGGTTAAAGAGTTCTTTGCATCATGAAAGGGTAGAGCCTTTTTGAAAAGGGTTCTAAATAGCACCAAAAGGGGTTCTTCCACTGTTACAAGTCTGGCATTGCAACAATAGAAGAATCCTTTTGGGTGCTATATAAAGCCATTTCCAAAAAGGTGCACTCTAAAAAAGAAGGTTCTTCAAGGGCTCTTTAGCAAAGAAAATGGTTCTATATAGAACCAGGAACATTCAAAGATCTCTTCACTTGATTAAAAGGGTTCTTTGCATTGTAAAAGGGTTCTTCAGATCAAAAGAGAATATGCTCTAGATGGTTCTATATAGAACCTTTTTGAAAACGGTACTATATAGCACTAAAAGGGTTCTTCTATTGTTACGATGCCAAGCTTCTTTAAAATAGAAGAACCCTTTAACCCTTCAGCCATGCAAAAGGTTTTATGAGTCTTCATGGTTTTATATAGAGCCATTTTCTTTGCTAAAGAACCCTTGAAGAACCATCCTTTTTTAAGAGTGCAGCCATCGACTGAAGGCATGCCTCCTAAGTTGTGCTCTGGTACTAAGCTGTTCTTCTCTATTGGAAAATGAATGGTGTATCTCCACTGTAGTAAACTGAAATGTTCTGTAGTAAACCTGATACGTTCTGTCGTGTGTACATTTCCCCCAGATGTTACTGGATCCTCCAAATTCTAAGACCTTTAAGGTGCCCAAATATGAATACTGGTACATCCATGCTACCATGTGGATTGAAATGACATTGCATGAAAGTAAGCCTACTATTAATGCAATTTGTGGGCAAAACGGTCGGCCACTTCTAGCCTTCATAACTTTAGAACAGTTTAAGGTACAAACATGATTCACGTATCAGGACATTCAGCAGACCTGCCCCTAACTAGCTTGCTTGACATCATCGAGCTGTGATGTCAGCATCAGTAAGTAATTCGGCTTGGAAAATCACCTAAAATCCTGATATTATTGCTCTGCTTTTTGGCCTTCATATTCCAACAAAAGGGTTAAAACAGCGACATGATTCACAACCAGATCACTCATCAGACTCTGCCTCACCATCCAGAGTGATTTCATCCACCTGTGACCATCAATCAGCCAGACATCCAGCTCCAAAATCACCCAAACCCCACTCGCTACTGTTATATTACATCTCTGCTTTTGTTCTTCATATTATAAACAAAGGGCTTTCAGTTTACATGGATTTTGAGTATTAAAAATATCTGATATTAAATATGCACCTCAATTTGTAACTAAAAATAAAGGCTGTCTTGCTGTGTATCAGAGTTTTAGGACTCAGCATGAAGCCAAGAGGACAGAAAATCAATAAAAAAACATGACCCTCTTATGCTAACTGTTTATTTTTGCTCATAATAACCAAAAGAATGAATCACCATCAAAATTATTGCACTTTTAGCTCCAGACTAATCATTTCTGAATAAGGATCTGAGGTGCAACTTGTTTTCAACATCTCTATAAGCAAAAAATGACAAAATTTAGCAGGCGCTAGGTAAATTTTTGATCAGAAATTACCCAAATTCATAAAGATTTTAAATTTCTGGTGGCATTTACATGTCAAATAATGGCATATCTGAGTAGCCCAGGGTCTCCTGAAAATAACAACATATGGCATGTGTGACTGTCTCATGCAAATACTTTATAATTGCAATTGTAATTGTAATTGACCTAAAATACCAAAAAAATTCCCCAAAATTCTGGGGTTCTATTAAACTAAAATACTATGTACCAGGCATGTTCACAGATAAGCCAAAAGGAAGGGCATGAGCTCTTGCCCTTTTGCCCTTAGACTGTATAAGTGCCCTCTTGGTTGGCATGTATTACATTGTGATTTATATGGCCATTCTCGAGATCCGTTTTAACATGGCTCAGCTCAGTCTTGCCCCAGGAATAGAGCTAACGGGTCGACTCCGGTCAACTCGGTTCTCCGCGAGCTTTATCACTTTTGGGCACCCTCTCATGACTTCAGTGGAGATTTCCACTCAGTAATTTCAAATCAAGTAACTGTAAAACACATCAATAAAACACAATAAGATTAGTGCCACACTCCATACTGTAAACAGCGACTAAATTTAACAGTGATCTGCTTTTTGTTATTGTAAGTTCAACGCTCTGCCGAACTCCATAGAGCCAGAACTCACATGTTTTATAGCAATTAAATACAGTTGTGGGAAATGTTGCAGCTTTGTGAGCTGGAGGTTGGGGTTCACTTCCTGTTTGGGTCATAAAGCTAGTGCTTTTGGCTGCCCTGTGGAAACACCACGCCTGGTTTCCTCTGAAACAAGACTTCACCAGGGAACTTGTAGAGGAGAATTACCTCTCTGTAATGTCTTTCGGGTTTCTCAAACACTAGAGGGCGCTCCTGAGCGAGTCCAAAATGAATGGGTTCAGATGGAGCATTTGAGCAAAGTCATAGTTTATAAATCCTTAAACAATTTTAATATAAAGGAATACATTTGTTTCCTGAACTCAGAACAGCGTTAAACATTTTAACAGCACTGTTATATTTTTAAGAGCTTTTAAACTCAAGTTATAGGAGTTTAAAACGGCGCCTCATGTACGTTCATGACGTCAGTGAGCGCGAACAGCCAATGAGCTGCTCCGCTCGCCAACCAATCAGCACTCAGTAGCAGTAATGTTAGCGCCCTGCTGCCCAAAACCCGTTTGCTGTAGAAAAAAAGGAAACACAGGTGAGTTTTCTTCACTTTTTTAGTGAAATACATCCTTCTACTTTCTAAAATTAAAGCAAAGTTCTGGGCAGGTGATTAGAAACTATTTTAACTTTTAGTTTTTAGCTGTTTAGCTCCTTTCACCCCCATTCATTGAGGACACGCTCATGGGCGCCCTCTGGCATTTTGTAGTGATGTTTTTATTATAACGGGGGAAATAAGAAGAGGCCAGGCTCCGCAAGAATCGGCTCTGACTGCAGTGTCTCTATGCTGTTCTAATCAAATTTATTATATTAATAATAATAATTCATTTGTGGATTCCTGCCTTCTTCTCCCTGCTCACTGCTGCATTGTTGTGGCCCAGTACACTCTCAAAAATAAAGGGACTAAACTCTCACTGGGATTGTACCCATCTTTAGAACCTTTAATCAAGGAACATAAATGCACCATATTCCATATTTTTCTATGTAAAAACAGCTTCTCCTGTGAAGGTGAGTGTAGCATACATTCAAAACTTACATAACATACACAACAGGAATTTAACTGCAGCCTGCCCAGAGTGTTTCCTGCCTTCCACCCAATGACTGCTGGAATAGGCTCCAGCACCCCTGCGACCCAGGAGATTAAGCAGCTTAGAAGATGAATAAATGAACTGGAATTTAAGATCATTGTTGTTGCTCAGAGAACAAAAATGTACCATTACTGTAGGGGAGCACAGGGTAAAATGAGCCACCCTTTGTATTTAGGCAAGATGTTGCTATGTACACTTACTGTAAATAGCACAATTTTACTGTTTACACTTAGCGTTCAAAGTAACATCACACTATTTACGCTTGCAGAATTATGTGCTTTTTTACACAATTTCTATTTACTATTTTTTTCATTTTTTTTCAATTCAGCAGTTCGATTCAGCAGTATTACCCTATATTTCAGCAATAAAATAATTCTGCTTTTCTTCCAAGCTATACTTTCGGTCACTAGACTGAAAGCCAAACCTGACGTCCTAGCATGCTTTCTCAACTGCCATAGCAGACAAGCAGCTGAGTCTCATGCCAAAATGGTTTGCTTACATAAACATAAACATATATGATACGTTCTTGCCTTTTCATTCCAACAGAACAGGAAAAGCAGATCGATTGAGTATGTATGTATATATATATATACATGTGTGTCCTCAATTAATCAGCTAAGCCATGCCTGAAGCTATATATATATATATATATATATATATATATACATACAATTTGGAAACAAAAATCTACTTGGAATTTCTCAATATTTAATATTGCGACTGTTATTTTGGCCAAAAAGACCAGAGCATCCATTTCTGACTTGAACACTGAACATACCTTGACAGACTGGCAGTTAGTTGTGGCTGTGATGTCACAGCATATCGCTGTTGTCAGAACAAAACCTCGTATCTCCATTTTTGTCATTTTTCGGTTTTTGACATAATTTGAAAATGGGTGTTGTCCTTTATATTGTGTGTTAATTTCATAATGAATGGACCAAAAGAAACGGCCCAAAATTACCTGGAAAACATTCTAGTTCCATTGAATTACATTGAAAATAAAGTATATTTATAATTCAGCAACTACAGGGACTTCAGTGCAAACTAGCTGAGCTGTTCTTAGATTATAGAAGTGTGTGATAAAAACTGCCATGAGGCCCTGGCCATTTAAGAGGTTAAAAGGTCAGCATGATTATATCAACTTGAGAACTTTTTGTCCAAGAGAACGATTTCACACAGAGACGGAACGATCACGCATGCATGAAGTCTGTAGACTTGTGAACTGGTCATGGAATGGATGCTGGTAATCTGATGGTCAGATGGTTTTGAATTCCTGCATTTTTAACTTACTGAGATTAAATGTAAAGGACTGTACAGAGTGGTCTCGCTCACATCAGAGAGAACTTTGATCTCTGTCTTTTTGTGCTTATCTGCTAAGACATGATCGGCCAGAGGACGAAGGCGCCCAAGTCCAGCGAGGGCAAAATGGTCAGTGGGAAGGAGACGCTGCGTCTGCGTTCGAAAGGGACAGCGACCGTTCAGGAAGTGGTGAGTTCAAGGCCTGAGGGGGTCACTGACAATCGTGGTGGTCCGCCCTGTAAGAAAATGGGAAAGGGCCAAGGTTGATGTGAAGTGTTCGTGAGATTTGGACTTTAGAACATGGCTTTTATTCACTGTCATTTTGATGCACCCTTAAAAAAGTGGTTCTTCTAGTGCTCTTTACTAAATGATATTGTTATAAATAGAGCCGTGACCACTAAAAGACCAATGTGAATGCATGAATGGTTCCTTATGTGGTTAAATGGTTCTCCTCTTTGATGGAAAACCTGTTAACCCTCTGAAACCTGGAACCTTTAAGTGTGAATTGAACGCATTATGAGAGCAGTGTTTAAAAAATACAGTTTTCTTACATAAAATTGGTCTAATTATTTAAAAAGCGAGTGGGTCATTTTAGGGTATGTTGCCTTGAGGTAACACTGTGCGACAATGTTGGAATATAGAAAACAGGATTTGTCCAAATATTTGGGGTGAAACCGAGTAACTACACAATATGTTGCTCTTTAAATATTATGACACCAAAAAATCATGTAATACCGTAATAAACAGCTTAAACCTGCTAAAGCATAAAATAATAAGTTCAGATAGATCTGTAATCAGATCAGTTAGGTCAAGTAATCAGAATTGGTCTTTTAATTTTTTAACAAAACTGATAACACTAGTAAAATATACTGTGTGCTGAGTGCTGTATGATAGAATTGACTGTAATGGGCTTCTACTAATATTGCCTTTATATTAATTATACCAGAAAGAGGTTAAAAAATGCACAACCAAAGGGAAAAACCTTTTCATTTAAACCCCTCCCTTCATCATTATCTCTATTGTTGTTATTAATGAGTCCTGTGCAAACGTTTGAACACCAAAGTGCATGTTTTGTTGATTTTTTAAGCAATAAAAAGTTCACATCCTCTACAGAGAACAAACTTAAATATGGCATTTTTCTGCTAATTTTAGTGCACAATTTCTATGTATTTGCTGCGTTTAACAAATTCAATTTAAAAGTGCACAGCACTGATTCATGTTTTAGTTTTTCCAATAGGTTAAATTCAGCATATAAGCAGTAAGTGTGTCTTAAAATGTGCAGAAGTGTGTTTTTTGTAGAGGATGTGTTTGATCAGGGGCGCACAAACTTTTGCATACGACTGTCCTTGTAAAATGAGAAAAATGAGTTCGTTTCCCTGAGGCAACATTGCGCAATAGAGGGTTAAAAAATGCTTTATAACATGTATGGTTGAGGTAATCTGATTGGCTAACCCACATCTAAAATACTCAACATACCATTGTATGCACAAGTTTGGGCACCCCAGTCAAACTGGCAACCATAGCCTACTATTAAACTACATTGTTTAGCTACAGAATTGTTTAGTGCGAATATTATTAACATATTAAGAGATTTATTGCACATTGGTGAATTTTATCATGTTTTTCGTGGCTGTTTACAGGCCTTGTGTTATAGGCCTTTTATCACAGCTAAGGGGTTTTTATTAAGAGGGTTTTATTATCCCCTTACCTGTCATAAAATCACAGTAATGCACAACCTCAATTGTCTTATTGCTTTTATAAAATGGTGGACAACATAAAATATTTTAAATATACCACTTTCCAATAAATAGTTTAGGCTCTTATTAATAAAAATCACGATAAACAATTCATGAGATACGCAGTGTAGTTCCTTTACAGTATGGTATTGTTGCCAAACAACCATGAAATACTTAAAGAGGACCAGAACATTCAGTCACCCATCTTTGTATATTGCCGTCATTTTACGAACTGTTTAACTTTTTGTCATATAATAATGAAACATATCATAATACAGGGAGATTCACTCGAAAGAGGCCCCGAATATTCCGTCGTAACTCCCATTATGATGAAGCAATCTGAACCAAAAAATACACAACATACCTTGACATATGTGTAATCGATTGCATTACATGCGTTACTGGAAGTGATCTCCGATTTCAGTCAGTCAGAAGAAGGGGTACGGGGGTATGCAGCCGGAAGTTGCAAACAGAGTTTAAACGTTGCGACGACTGTCCGGCGCCTATCTCATCACTCCGATGCAGGGGCGTCCTGGCTTGTTCGAAGCTCCATATAATGAGAAGCACACTGCATGTTGTTTTGTTCAGATTGCTTCGTCCTAGAGAGAGTTATTACAGAATATTCGGGGCCTCTTTCGAGTGAATCTCCTTGTATATCATATTTAACTCAAAAGTTTTCACTTTATTAGTCCTTGCTTACCATATTACCTCCATGACAACAACGCTAATTTCCATTAGTGCTTCTATGCGATTTTCATGCTTATTTAGCACCAAGCTAATGATGTTGTACGTCCCTTTCCCCACTAGGGCCAAATCGCTACTCCATATATAGTGCATTACAATTAAAATACGGGAAAATAGTCGGACACAATTCCATACTGGACAACTAGTACCCTGTTTGGGTGTAGAAGCCAGAATTTCATAGCTTACATAGCACACTATATATGAAGGAGGAAGCCTTTTGAGATTCAGCCATTGAGTCAAATGCTACTTAAGGCAGATCTGACTTTAAAACAAAGACATGTTAAACATGCAACACACTATTTTATGTTGCAGCTTTACAGTGAATCATACAGGAAGTGCTTTAAGTCAAGGCCTATAATATTAATGAAGGAGTTAGCCAGCTGGCCAGCCTGGTTCAGTTAAGAAAATAAGTTTAAACCAAACTGGGTTCTTACTTCATCAGTACACTGTCCATGTGAGCAGCATTACATCAAAGATTATTCCATTTACAGCACAGGGATGTTTTGTGACCTAGCACATTATTACAGAATTCAGTTGTTGTGAGATGATCACAGGTGTGCATGTATCAACTATTTTAGTATTCAAAGGCACTTAGATTTTCAGGCGACAACCATCTGTTTTATAATGATGAATTAACTGTTACATAACTATTAATTCAATATGTCAAAATCACTTCTTTAATGCTTGGCTTTTCATCTTATTTATTTCATGACAATCTGAAGAAGTTTTGTCCTGATGAATGAGAACTTCTGCCTGACTTACTTACCCTTCCATTTCTTTCATCTCATCTCATCTCATCTCATATCTCACCTCATCCTCCAATCAGCCCAGCGAGTTTGAGGAGAAGGCCATAAAGAAGGTTGATGATCTCCTGGAGAGCTACATGGGCATACGGGACCCAGAACTTGGTGAGCTGTGATTTGGTTTTACTTGATTTTGGCAAATCCTCTCCATAAAAGGCAACTGGATGACACTGAATCAGTGAAGCCTGACATTCCCACAGTTCCCATGCATTCACACTGGACAGCAGGAATAATAGACAAACAGCACATACCAGAGGCTGCTGCTAAAGATTCCTTTCATTTATTTCCATCAACATGTGGCTAAAAGCTAACATAATAATACTAAAGCTTTTTATCAGGGGTTTGGGGGGGATTGTTATTGGGGGGAAGACCTGGGAAAGCTTTAATATTTGCTTAGCCCTTCAAGCTACAGCAGGAGAATCTAGACCTAATGTGGAAAATTCTCTTACTGAAGTCAGGACGTCAGTCAGGCCCTAATTATTGCACCAACATCCAAAAGCAGTGTGAAATTCTGTTGCCTCCTTTTACGTTGTAGCTACAGGCAGAGCTTTGGATTGAAATGTAGTATATCACTTTAAATCCACTGTGCTGTATGCATAGTAGGTTAAGAATAATACCTGAAGCTTTTCTTGATTCTGTTACCACTGCAAAATGATACATTTCTACTAAGTTATAAGATACTACTCAGCTCAGTGACACTAGCATCAGCTTGACCTCATTTAAATGTGCATTCAAGTTCATAACGTTGAGTTCTTCACTCTGAAACTCTGTTTTGTGTTGTCTGCAGCAACCACCATCGTGGAGGCCGGCAAAGACAAGAAAAACCCTGACGATTTCGCCGAGGCTCTCGACTCTGTGCTGGGGGATTTTGCCTTCCCTGACGTCTTTCTGTTTGATGTTTGGGGAGCTCTGGGGGATGTTAAAAATGGAAGAGTTTAGAGGCAAAGGAGTGATTTTTCAACCATGCTCACCTTTTTAAACTGCATCTCGCTTTACCTTTAGATCTGGCTGCTCTTTTCAAACATCTGTTGTGAATAGATGTAATCTGTGACCCTGAATCTGGTTCCTTTTTGGCAAGTTTAAATGCACCTTGCTGGTGACAAAACGGATTTACAGACATCACTTTGATTTCACATACAGTATTTTTATTATGGTCATTTCTGAATATCACAACACTGCAGCTGTTGCTTGGACACTTTTCTGGCAAAAGAACATCAGGAATCTGATCTTATCTACAGTTCAGCAGTAGAAAAAAAGCCCAATATTAACCAGTAATAAGATAAGACATTTATAGAGATCCCACAAGACAGATTTGAACTTCAATATCTAAAAGACATGCACCAGATGTGCCATGTATGCCATAAATCATGACCATTGTGAACATTTGAACCCCAAAAAGTACTGGTTCTGCAAGCCAGATGGACCAACGCCTGCTTCTTGAAATAAAAGCACTCGCAATAAAGGATCCCAACTGGCAGAAGTTATTGGTGTGACACTTCTAAAGAAGCCCCGCCTTCTAAGTCATAACATCACATAGAATATGATGGCTTCTCCAGACGTCCTCTAAAAAATCCAGCTATTTTTGTTCACATTTTTCTTGGGAGAATGTTGAACAACTGCCAGTGTAGGGAAAGGACCACAGGTCAATTCAGTGTACATAATGGTCACCCCAGTGTGTGGATAAGTCTGTCCTTAGTTTAGTGGGGGAAAGGCCACAATACTGCATAAGTACTGTTTTAAAACAACTAAAGAAAACCTCAAATACAATCTCAATAACAAAGACTTCAGGAAAAGCACTTTAATAGGCATAAAGCCCATAAAGTACTGTGCAAAAGTCAGAGCGAACACTTCAGTCATTTAATTTCCAATCAAAATGGCCAGTAAGTACAAGTAATTCATTGTTCAGCGTCAGGAGTTTCCACTCTTTCTATAAGGCTCAATTTCAGTTTTTGAAAGAAATCTGCAGACACACCTCCAAAGTTCAGTCTTAGAAGCTGGTTGATCATTTTCTGAAGTAATCAAACACATTCAGTGGTGTTGAGGTCTGGACTCGGGGGTGGTCAGTCCATTGTTCAGCTTCTTTGTTTGATGTGTCCGTCTTCTTTTCTCAGTGAGGTTCTTCTTGACACATCCTTTCAGACCCACAGCGCTGAGTCGTCTTCTCACAGTGGAAGGATGGACAGAAACACCTGTGGATGTTTTCAGATCTGAAGCAGCTTGATTTTCTCCTCTCTCTCAGAGATGAAAGCTTTAAGTGCTGTTTATCTGATGGGGGCAGTTTTGGTGTCTACCAGGTCTTGCTTTGTTGATAGGAGTCCCATTTACTCTGTAGCTTTTTTGGAACTACAGTTTGATGCTTTTTTCACGTTTTCCTTTGATTTTCATCTTCCTTTCGCACAGTACTGTACACTATGTGGACGTTTCAAAGGCTCTTCACACTTGGACATCTCATTTACCAATATGGTTAAACAGTCATCAATTTAAAGGTTCATTATGGAACCAAAGTGATTCTTCCATTGCATTACAGAACACTTTCTGAAACCTTTTTCCTTAGGACAGAAATTCCCATCATTCATGCCTGAAAATTCCTGAACGGTTACTCGGCCTCAATGTTTGTCTTTTATCTGTCTGAGTTTAATACTTGCTCACAAATGAAGGTCTTCACTTCCTGTGTAGATATTTCATGTGTTAAAAGTGAAAGTGATTATCTGTTTTAACTTATGATCCTGTAAGAATAATGCTTTATGTATATATTATGACACACTGTTGCAGCCTTTAGTCTGTTATATGTCTACATTTTGATCTTCACTGTTTGAAAACCTGATATGAAGTTTCAAAGGAGAATTGAATCAGTGTTTTGCAGTTCATGACAGGCACATCTATAAACAAACTGAATGCAGCAATAGTGTTTGTGTGGTTTTACGTTATGTATCCCATTCATATTCTGTATGTATCTCTTTTGTGATCCTTAAGTGAAGACCTGACAATGTACAGCATCTTGGAATTCATGTTTTTCAATCAATAAAATGCTTATCTTGAACTTGAACGTTTTTAGACAAGCTGTTAAACTGCTATCACAAAGCTTTAAAGTTTTAAAATATTCAAAAGTTCTGCATAATTCAGGGGTTGAGATGTAAACAAAGTCATTCAGAGTGATTTGATGTGAAATCGTGGAGAAACTTACTGACTCTGGTTTCTTTACAGTGGTGGTGATAGGAACCAAGGATCGCCATGACTACAACACAAATATAGCCATTTTATTTACTATCCAGAGCCACAAGTGAACTTATAGGTGTTTTCTGAGTTTTATATACAATGTTAATGATGGTGAAATAGTGGATAATCTGACAAAGAATTATGGTTTCTCTTGGTTAACTTGCCTTATGATGCCCTACATGTATCTCTCTGCCCATAATATCTTTTGAAAAACAAATTTCAGGTCAAAATCTAATAATAATGAGTGCGTTTACATGCACACAATAATCGGATCATAATCGGATTTCTGCAGTTATCTGATTATTCAAATGGTCATGTAAACAGCACACTCTGATCTAGAAATCTGATTAAGAAATCTGTTAAAGAAAGCTGGATTTTAGCTCAGTAATCAGATTTCTCAGTGTATGTGAACTCTTACTCAGATTTCTTTCGGATTTCTCAGTCTGCGCATGTGTGAAACAGACGGTGGTACTGGAAGTGAGCAAGCAGCGTCGGCGTGAGATGCAGCAAAACACTGAAACCAACTACATGCTTGACGAAATGAAGGATTTAAATACTCTTCATCTTCTAGATGATGTATGTTCATATTTTCAGTGGTGTGATTTGTTTAAAAAAAAACGCTGCATGAAGTTTGAGGTTACATTTACGTCACGTCTCCTTTGGTGAGTTTACTGGTTGTAAAGCAGATATCTGATTACTGTCTGACTTATGTAGACCTGGTGTTTCCCCAGTATCTGATTACTTAAGTGCATATAAACGTGTTGATCGGATTATTGACAAAATCTGATTTTCTGCAGCGTATTCATAACCATTTCATGCAATTACATTCCATTAAGGATTTAAAGACGTTAAACACCATCTGGTTCTGATCACCAAAATTCTGACTCAGTAAGTTTCTCTAGAGTGGCGCGTTTCACATCAAACCACTCTGAATGACTTTGTTTACATCTTAATATCTTAATTTAGTACAAATGTTAAAAATCTGTGGAATTCCCTATTAAGGGTCACTGAAGGGGAGGCTGTTCTCAATGGCTTCACTGGGGTTTATCAGAAGCCACAACGCAAAACAGTGGAAAAAATCTTGACAGTAAATGAGTCAGCAGGAAAACACTGAACCAAAAGCCTCTGATCCTTTACTGTTCGGCTCAAATGACAAGCTGCACATGTGGATATGGACAGAAATCAGATCATTCGTTCCATATGTGTGTTGTTGCTGAGTGCTTCTTCACTGGCGTAGGATGTGCAGAACATTTCTGATTGTTTCCAAAAGCAATCCAAACAAAAGGAGGGTTACACAAGAGGCCGATACAATGGTTTTATGTTTTGTGACTAAACAGAACAGGTGATCCGTACATGTATTTATACTGAGAATAAATATATGACAATGAAAGACCATTTATTCTGACTGTGTTTACTCTGAATGCTAAACAGCTTAACATCATGCACTTCGGGGCGAACCGAGAGCTCGATTCGTGGTGAGAGGTTTGGATGAAAGTTTGTTAAACTTGGCATGTAGTCCTTCGCTGTGAATCCAGTGGGTATGTGGAGAATGTTTAGTCCTGGACACGACGCTATGAGTGGGTGACAGTGTGTGATAGCTGAGAAGCAAGGGACCACCTTCAGAGTGTGCCAGCTATAGAGAGCTAAAGAGAGAGATAAACTGGACAGGACTTCACCTGGCTCTATATTCGCAGCATCAAGAGAACTCCTTCATACACACACAAACAGGGGGGTGACTTAAGAAGGGAATGGGGGAATGCACCCCCCCACTTTTGAAAAGAATTTTCCCCTAATATAAAGCTAAAATATACCTAATGCAGAGGGGACCTTCAGGGCATTCTAGGCTTTAGAAAAGGTTTCATGAGACCCACAAAAAAGATTAGAAATCTTTAAAAACACCCAATGGAAAAGTGTCCAATCAGGGTATTTTCTTAGTGGTGTCTAGGTAGATACTTCCAAGCAATGTCTCCCATTCGGCAGGACTTAGATTAACTAACAACATAATTGTTAAGTGACAATGGAATCAACCAATCATGTTTTGATTTACAATGGGTGGGACCTATTTTGTGATAAAACCTCACTCTAGGCCTTTTGAAACTAAATTGAACTCCTAACTGAAAAAGTAAAAGAAAGCACACTGACAGGCGCAGTAACCCTTTTAGTGGACAGCGATGAACAATGTTTGTTTATTTGATCCGCGTCTGGCTTCACTTAAGAATTCACCTCTACTTGCTAACATTAACAAAAAGGCGTTTGTTAACATTCCGCAAACACAACAGAAAGAATTTGTGACAACTCAGACATGAAAATTCATGAGCAGTCAAAAAAGGTGGCAAGTTCAGATACCAATCCCCTGTAGGGGGGTCTGGCGGTCCCCATGAAATTCTATGCAAATGTAAGTCAAGACCAAATATTGCATCATTTCTAGACCCTTTGACAATATTTAAATCTATCTGCTTACCATACCAAGGCCAAAGGGTGTGTATAACATCTGAGACCCACATCCATTAAAATCGAGGCCACTCTAAAAACTCTGCCTATCATTTGTGATCTGCTGGTTTCATAACTGCACATAGTGCTTGGACCCCCATGATCGCTATTTGCATCATTTGTAGATGGGCGTTCTCACAGCATTTAGAAAGTCCACAGAAGTCAACCTGTTCTACATATATTTCAGACTCAAACTAAATGGAAGCTGACTGTCTTGGCTGTTTGCAATGATAACTTGCACATATTAAAGGAGCAATATGTAATACTGACAACAAGTGTTGAAAATGGGTATTACAGAGAGGGGAGAGTTGTTTGCCACTGTCCCCTCCTCCCAGGACTCGAAGCTTACGAACACATACACGAACAAGCGCAATGTTAAACTTTGACAACATTAAACTTTGACAATAGCAGGCGATGACGAGTCATATGCTGTAAGTTGAACAGCTAATGTATATGTATGCAATGTTACTGTTGTTTGCAAATTATAAACCAGCTCATGTGGATTTTTTATAACTCTGTGAATGTTAGCTAGATGCATGACTGGCTATGTATGGTGGCCAAAGCTAAGTCCTTTATCCCAACAACAAAAGCCCACTGCTCCAAAAATACTTGCTGCCTTGAAGGAGCCGAAGACAGCTTCTTACTCGCCAGCTTATTGTTCGTTGTTGCTCATTCCACCTTAAATGATTCAGGACTTACACTCTGGTACCTCAGCCTATTCACCAGGTTCTTATTCAAACTTGCCCGTTCTACCTTAAATGGTGCAGCACTTACATTCTGGCGCCTCACCCAATTTGCCAGATCCTTATCGAATTTTTCCGTTCCACCTTAAATCGTGCAGCACTTACATTCTGGCACCTCAGCCTATTCGCCAGATCCTTATCCGAAGTTTCCCGTTCCACCTTAAATGGTGCGGCACTTACATTCTGGCACCTCAGCCTATTCGCCAGATCCTTATCCGAATTTTCCCGTTCCACCTTAAATGGTGCAGCACTTACATTCTAGTGCTTGAGGTGCTAGGTGAAGCTGGAAAACAGAAGCCCAACTTCAGCCTCGTCTGCCTTGGTAGCCCAGCTGAACATGCACCACAGGGTATGGATGCCAGTATTCGAATGTTGAAATTACTTACAATGCCCATCTTTACTAGCTGTGATAAATTAGTTAAAGTTAGCCAATCTTAGCTGAAGCTCAATGCTTACCTGTTCAGGAGAAGATTGGCCAACTCAGTACCCGTCTTAAAGTCCTTCTGGGCTCTAAACTGTCTCAATTTTTTAGATGCACTGCCAATATTTACTCGTATTTTACTCCATCTCTGGCCATGGAGCTCTTTAAAAGGATGCCAAGGCTTTTTAGGTTGCAGCACACTGTGTTTGCCTGACAATTTGTTTTGTATTTGACAACCCGGGGTATCGGTACTGGGAAATGGGCAGTGGGTGGGCTCACAGGCCAAAAACACAAACAGACTTTTTGCTCTGGAACAAAAGATTTAACAGAGAACATACCAGCTGTATCACTGCTGCTGGAGAATCCAGTATTATAACTTAGCATGTTTCTTTAATCTCTGATGACATATCAGGGTCATTTTCTGATTTACTACAGTCAATATACACCAATAACATTATGACCACCTCCTTGTTTCTACGCTCATTGTCCATTTTATCAGCTCCACTTACTATATAGGTGCACTTTGTAGTTCTACAGTTACAGACTGTAGTCCATCTGTTTCTCTGCATACTTTGTTAGCCCCCTTTTAAGGCGTTCTCCAGTGGTCAGGACCCCCATGGACCCTCACAGAGCAGGTACTATTTGGGTGGTGGATCAGCTGATCGGTGTTTTACATATTGCTCCTTTAACTGTTTTTCGCCCACCATTCAAATCAGACTGAAGAAAGATATTAGAAGATGTGAAAATGAAACCAACTTGGCCACAACCTTGCTTGCTTTTCACTTTTCAGTCAGGCTGGGCATACAATACACGACTTTTAAAATCTAAAAGGGTCTCTAAAACGGAGAGCATCACACACTTAACGTCAGTTTGTCACAGAATTTCTTGTCTTTTTGTTGTGAGGGCGCTCAGACTGGACGACAGGGCAAAGAGAGAGTAAAACACATAACGAGTTTGGGCTATGAATAAGAACTCCCACATGTCCTCAGATCACATGACACAAACTAAGCTAAACTTACTGGATCTGATCTGTTTGTGCTTTTATGCACAGCGAAAGTGTGTATTAATATGGATCTGAGAAACGCTACTTACACACAACACTACTGTTTACATCTGTCACTTGCAACATGCACTTTATGGACCACTGCTCTACATACTTGCACATACGCACATGTAACTTTAATTTTTCTTTCAACTTTGCACATATAACTACTTTTTTTTTGTTTTTAGTGTATTTATACTTATTCAGCATATTTAATATATTCTTATACTTTTTTTTTTTTTCTAAGACTATATTGGTGAATGGAGGAACAGCAAAGTAAGAATTTCATTGTTCAGTGTAACTGCCTGCTTCTGCTGTGCATATGACAATAAAGCTCTTGAATCTTGAAACACTGAGCTGGACAAATATTTCACTACAAACTGGCAGCTGAGCTGAAAATATAAAGACAGTGCTTTGACGTCTGGATCCACGCATCATTTGCATGTACGACAATTCAGGATGAGTATTAAGTCACCGAGAGTAATCACATGACCTGATGATTATGTGTCGACTGCCTAGAGTTTGCTAATCTTGTTTGTTAGCTTGGTCGCTAACACTAAGTCTAGTAGCATAATAGAAGCTGCATGTTTTTGCTCATATTTCCAAAAATATACCCGTCTCATTTCTTTCCCTCCTATTGTAAGTTATCAGTTATGCCCTTGCAAATACATAACACTCAGACATTGAGAAACAAATGCTAAGTAGCATTCAGCTACAGTGGCCAGCAGTGCTGGTCAACGCCCACACAGCCTGATCCAGGTCCACAGCATGCTGCTGTCTCATCACTGAGTCATCTCAGCAAGATTCGAAACATATGTTACTGATAGAATCCACTTATTTCAGTCTGACGAAGCGGTTTACAAAGCCCCCCCTGGGTGGTGAAGGTCAAAAAACACTGGAAGAGGTTCCAGAACATGCTTCAGAGCCTTTTTTGGGAAAAAAAAAAAAACAACGCATGCAGAGTGCAGAGCTCAGACACCTCTTCATATCTTCCCATCATGCTTTAAATGGAAAAAAGGCTGACATTACTGTTTATAAATGTGAAAATACAGGTCCGGAGTGATAACAGTAATAGAAATGATTATGAACTTGGAGAGGTGCTCTGCACTGGTAACGGAGCATCTTCCTGCTTGAGTTCCTGGGAGTTTTGCCCGTTGAGCTCCTGGGAGTTTTGCCCGTTGAGCTCCTGGGAGTTTTGCCCATTGAGCTCCTGGGAGTTTTGCCTGTTGAGCTCCGTTTCGCCGAGCCTGCTGGTGCCCCCCAGGGAGGCCCGCGTGAGCTTGCGGATAGAGGAAGAGAAAGAGGGGTAGAGGCTGGCGATGGAGCCCCGGGACCAGTCCATGCGCGGGTAGACGCGCTTCAGTACGGAGCGTCGGAAGAGGATATAGACCCAGGGGTCCAGGATCTGGTTCCACGTGGCAAATCGTATCCAGAGCAACAGGCCGTGGATGCTGAGTGTTTCGTCCGAAAGCACAGTTTGTGCAATAAACACCTGCGTATGGAGAAACGGACAGCAAGAGAGAGAGAGAGGTTGATGGAGAGTGGTATATTGAAGATGGAGAAGACAGAGAGGGAGAGAGAGAGAGAGGGAGAAAGAGAGAGAGAGAGGGGGAGAGAGAGAGAGAGAGAGAGAAAGGGGGAGAGATAGGTTGATGGAGAGTGGTATATTGAAGATGGAGAAGAACAACAACAACAACAATAACAACAACAAGAACAAGAACAGAGAGTGTAAGAGAGACAGAGAAAGAGAGAGAGAGGGAGAGGGAGAGAGACAGAGAGAGGGAGGGAGAGAGAGAGAGAGAGAGAGACAGAGACAGAGAGAGAGAGAGAGTGAGAGGGTCTGTTAGCTGGAGGATACAGGCTGAAAGCACTAACTCAACATGGAATATGGAACACATGCAGGTCTAACTCTAGTTGAACACATGCACACATGCACCCCCCCACACACTTTCACTCTCTCACACACACACACACGCGCGCACACACTCTTTCATTCAGATCTGCTGAAACTCCCTTTATCTTTTATATAACTCCTGGCAGACCACACGGAACGACACGGAACGACAGCCACGTTCACAGTTGTCTGTGTTTGAGCTGAAGGGAAAATCAGCTGGACTGTAAGAGTCACACAGAATCACCAACTAGTCATGAAGATTCCAATGAAGAACAACATGCAGAACGAAATAAATGGTGGTAAACTAATTAAATGGTGACTCTAATTCGGTAATTCTGCCTTAAGGGCAGAAAGCTCTCCTTATTCACACAGTCAAACTCTCTTAGACATCATTAGCCATAACAACGTGACCTGTACATCTTTACATAATGAAAAGGCAGCTGCATGTCAGTCAGTCAACACTACTGCAAACCAGTGAGTCAGACTCACCACACACTCACAAACATCATCAGATCAATTACACATGCTCAACAGGACAGTACAAGCACGGAATGAGTTAGAGATGCTTGGAATATCATTTTTAGGGATGCACGATGATATTGGAATAACATCAGTATGGGATGAATGACACTGGACCAAAGCTTAGATTTGACCAATAGTACAAAACTGATATTCAATGATACGTTTATTATAAAGCAGACAGTTCAGGCGACGCTGGGTTTCTATGCTAAAATGCTCACTTTTTTTCATTTTACTGCATTTTTAATGCTATACAAACAAACTGTTGCTGTCATAACAAAACCTTGCATTTCCAAAATGGTGATTTTTCAGGAGAAGGAAAAACTTTAATTCAATTCATGTTAATAAAACGAGTAACTTTGCACCATTTCTACCAGTTCAGTGTTTCCCCCACCATTAAACAGGCCGCGTAACCAAACTCACAAGCTGCCTGATTTGAGACATTAAAGGATGTAACTGGCGGGCTACGGTTTACTTTCTAACATTTTATTCTTATGTGGTACTCTTGTTTTTGGCAAAATAAGAATTTCAAAATTAGTTAGTTTGGGTGGTTTTATTGAAATATTGTGGTAATAAAAGACGTGAAGCATAGTGGTTCGTCTTTGTTGTTCCATCTACAAGAAAACCAGCAAGAACCCCCCTTTCTGGATGTTTGCAGACCTTAGCAATCGATTCTTCAAGCCCTAATAATCAGAATTTGTAATAATAATTTGTGTCAATTAAACAAATTTTTAACACTGTTGTTATGCATTTCTGTAGAAAAGTATAACTTTTTTTTTTTGACCAGCATGAACTGTGTAGTTGCACATAAATTCTTCGGATATAAATGAACTGACTGGGTCATTCTCCATTTGCAGTGCGAATTCAGCTGGATACATTTAAAAAAACTTTCTTTCATCCCAAAACTAAATAACCTTAACATGTCCATTAACATCTCCCATTATCATATATGCAAAAAGGAGAGCTTAACTTCAAACATATTTCACAGTCACTGGTGTTGTATGAATATGGTGTAACACCAGTTACGGTGACTCCAGTGACATTCTGGCTAAAACTGATGATTTTGTAAATTGGCTGACTCATTGTTGGTCAGGTGACCTTGTGCAACTATTTAAAATCAGTAATAAAAATGATAATATGGCATTATTTAGACACAATTTTAATTACCCAGCCATTAAAGCACAAAACACTGATGAGACATAGAAGTAATGTGCTGCCTAATAAACAAAAGTATTAATAAATGAATGAAATATAGTAAGCGAGTCTGGACTCGCCTTCTCAGGCCTTGAGATGCTTCCTCTCTGATGAGCCTCGACCCAAAGAAGCAGTTTAATAGAGCTGAAAATACTGTGTTAAAATGTAATATAAGAGTCCTGAAAACACCAGTGACCCAAAAAAGTAAACATGAATCTGTTTTACATACATTCCTAAGTTAAACCTCTTAAAAATATAGTTTTATACTAAAAATGGTTTCTCAAATGTTGAAGATTGGTTTTGTGACGAGCTGTTTTACAGATGCAGAGCGACTATGAAACAGGATTAAAAAAGCATAAGGGAAAAGTGTTATTTAATCATATGTCAACTGTTTAAATGTACATTCTGACTTTTGGAGCTGTGCCTAATATTTTAAGCATCTCTATAAGCTCTGCAACCTTTGTGACACGGTTTCCCCTCCAAATGGAGAATGACCCGATTGTAAATAAGCACTTAATTAATCAATCCCAATGAAATTCCTGAAAATAAATGGACAGAAAACATAAAACTTGGTATATTCACATGCATAGGTGAAGTTACTGTATTTGTAAAAATAATTCTGTGTGATGATATGACTCCAGTTTGATGACAGCTTGTACCCACAACAACACTGGTAGCTATAAAGTTGTAATATGACAGCAACAAAATGCAAAATTTTGCTTTTGCTAGTCGTTTTCTAAGTGTTTGTTTATAGTTAATTAAAATCGGCATCGGCAGATACATGAATGAAAAACATCGCATATCAGCGTCAGCTCAGAATTCCCATATCAGTGCATCCCTAAATGTCCCAAATACATTGGTAGTTAATGGACGCCAGGCTTGAGATGCTGAAAAAGAGAAGGTGAATGGTCAATGTCATTTGGCATGGAAGCTTAAGCACTACACACTACAGGCACTACAGTGCACTACAGCCTGCGCTACTGCTCAATGCGCTAGCAGCTAGCATGGAGCCATTCTGGATCTGTAACGTTTTGGAGATGAGTCTTTAGCGTAGTTCATTGCAGACCGGTTAGCGCTGACAGGTGAGATGGTCGCTGTTAATCTGGATTAGGCTTGAGTCATCTACTCGCCTCAGTCTAGACTCCTGACAGAGGATGTAAATCCACGGGTCACATATCTGATTTAAGGTGGCCAATCGAAGGTAGAGCAAAACAAAATCTCGGTGGACGTCCACTGCAGACAAAACAGTCCTCAAAATGTATATCTGTCCAGAAGAAAAAGGGTTAGTCAATGCCAGGGAAATCTCCTCATCACAAATCAGAAGTTCTCTGCGTCCTGGAGCCACGTTTCCTAAAAACAAGGCCAGTTAGAGCGGAGCCTGCACACCAGTTATACCACAAACATTAGCGCCAAATGCTAAAGTTCTCGGTCAGGGGAGCTAAATGGCTAAAATGTTAATAAATTATGTTTCTAGCTAATCACACAGAAACTTTCCTTTGTTTTGGGAACAGTAAGTTGTTTTATATTAAATCGAGGAAAACTTATCAGTGTATTATTGTTTTTCTACAGTAAGTAGAATGCTAGCATTACTGCTACTGAGTGCTGACTGTTTGACATTACTGCTACTGAGTGCTGATTGGTTAGCATTACTGCTACTGAGTGCTGACTGGTTAGCATTACTGCTACTGAGTGCTGACTGGTTAGTATTACTGCTACTGAATTCTGATTGGTTGGCTTTACTGCTACTGAGTGCTGATTTGTTGGCGTCATTGCCACTGAGTGCTGACTGGTTGGCTTTACTGCTACTGAGTGCTGACTGGTTGGCATGATTGTTATTGGGTGCTGATTGGTTGGCATTACCGCTACTGTTTGCTGACTGGTTGGCATTATTGCTACCGAGTGCTGATTGGTTGGCATTACTGCTACTGTTTGCTGACTGGTTGGCATTACTGCTTTATAATCCTTTAGATTCACAATTCATAATAAAAGTCCTGGGAGAGGTCTCTCTGTGCTAAGACAGGTTTATGCCTTTAATATTTAAATAAATACTACTGTATGAAGAAGGGGCCCCTGAGTACAGATCAACATTCTTGTCCTTACTGACATTTGACCATGTTTACTTGCACACAATAGCCTTACTAAGTACTAAACCGAGTTCTTTTCCAGTCCATTTGTACTAGTCCATTTGTAACCCCATTTTCACGTACGCCAGCACAGTCTGACATAAGATCTTTATTTCGGTGTCATAAAGCTGTCGCCTTATGGGTGCAATGGAAGGAAGTGCCGCAAAACATCCATGTGAGAGTCAGGGGAATGATCTAAGTGCATACATGGCCAACTGTATTCTAAATGGCCCAGCCAATCTGCCTGGACTGCATTTTTCACCGCAATTTACCACAAATTTCTTGAAGCAAACAAAATTATCAGGCAGTGCAATAAGATAATTTCACTAGGCAAAAATACTTTCTTGACTACAAAAAGACTATAATATTTGGTAAGACTTCACTGTAGGGCAGCATTCATAAGGCCCTATATAAGCCTTTCAGGACAACTGGCATATACCTATATAAGTACTTAATATACTAAGGCTTTTATCGGACCATGACAATCCCAATCGCGCTGTTTACATGATCATATCTTAGACTAGCAGTCTTGACCTAAGTATGAACTGGACGTGCTATGTGAGAGCCATGCATCTGAGGAGTTGGAGGGAGGGACTTCCTGTGTTGTCCTCCACCGGAGATGGTTCTTCCACACATGCCTTATCAGCACCCAACACAGTAACGCCTCTTGCCTTACAGAACATAGTGCATTTCCTGAGCCGGGCCTGCTTCTGAAGTGCGGTCCTTAGGGAGAAGTGAAGTAGCCAAATCCACTTTAACTTTGTTTGTTTTAAACTTCATTCATCATCATTTTGTTGCTTTTTCTGAAATATCCTTGCATTGTAAATTAGATGATTAAAAGCATACACAAAGCACTGGATTGTGAGACCAGTCCCACTTAGCTAGGTCTCCATCATTGATACCACTGAACACAAATTCTGATGTTCCAGATAAAAAGCATAATACATGAAGTAAGATTGTGGTATTTTGCTGCAAATTTTACAGCACAACTTTAGTGCCATAATGTTTGCACAAGATATTTTATTATGACCCCCGTATGTTAAATTAAGGGGTGCCCAAACTTTTATGGATCACGTGCTGTTATAAACTCCAGTAGCAGCCATCTTGAAGGCTAAATTGTCTGTAAATTTATCCATTTTTTACACATACAATTGCCATGCAAACATATGGGGGGCCTGGTCAAATTACACATTTTGTTGATTTTCTAAATGAAAATAAGTTAAAACTATTTTATGCAAAGAAAAATTAATAATAATATGGCAAATATTTCTGCTAACTTTAATGCATGATTATTATTTATTTGCTGAATTTAATATATTGTAAAGCAACACTTAAATTTTGAAGTGCATAAGTTACACTCTCAGTCAATACTAGGTGAGACCACCTTTGGCTAAAGAAGTGCTTCTAGTTGGGAAATACACATAGGTCGTCTTGCACAGCGTGCTTAAGATCTAATAATATACTGAATAACATTCAAGGGGACATTCCAAAAGCTTAATCTTTTGTTTCTCTAAATAGTACAGGTGGATTTTGACATTGTTTTATTGGAATAGCCAACCTCTTTTCTTCTTCAGTTACTTCACTGGACTGTGGGACACTAGCTTTCACTTTCAGAGCCCAAAGCATAATAGATCCACCTCGTATGTTTAAAAGTCGGAAAGGTGTTCTTTTCATCAAATGCTGCTCCTTTCTTTCTGATTTTTGATTCCAAAATGCCTCTGGTGTATCTAAGTGTTGTGATTCATACTTCAGATGTTGACTTGTGAGAGTTTAACTTCCGATGACCCTTTCAGTAGGTCAATGCATCACTTTTCCCATGCCAGCCAAAACTTCCTGTAGGTTCTTCACAGTGATGTGGGGGTTTGGCCATGCAAAATGTATGTGACTGAACTACGCGTTTTTTCAGTTTTTCTGAGATTTCTTACAGATCTTGTTTGGAAGTGTTCCCTTGCTGTGTAAGAGCCAATTATCTTTAGTTTCAGATCCTCATCAGCTGCTTAGATCACCAAAAATAAAAAGTATAAATAGAGTAATTAAAAAAATCTAATAACTAAAAATCAATTAAACTATGCTTTTAATACATTAAATGTTTTATGTAATATTTAGTCTGTAGTAAGCCATCCACACCACTAGGAATCTATAACACCTGGCTTGGATTAATGCCCAATGACTCAAATAAGCTCTGAGACCTTAAAAAAAACACTAGTGACTTGTGGTACATTTTAGTGTTTTTTCCAGCAAATTCATGGTACTGGTGCATTAAAGTTTGTAGAAATGTGGCAAATTTAAGTTGTTAGCTACATTAGCCCCATATATCCAATGCAAAAGGTGGCAAATTTCAGACATCAAACATGTTTTGACTGCTTGACTACATTTGGGTAAAGGGGAACATTGTAAAAAATTAGATTTTTCACCAAATTATTCTTCAAACATCACAAAATACCTAAGAGATGTCCTGTACAATAGCACAAGCCCAAAAGGAATCTGCAGAGATCCTGTTCTACACGCTTTAAAATAACTTTTCTGTATATAAATTGTATAAGAATTCACTGATTCTCTTCGGCCTAGCGCACTGCTTTCCACCCAGTTGAAGCACTTACCAATAGTGGACACCAGCAGATAGAGGCAATGACCATGATCAAGATGAGCTGCACCATCATCTCCACTTCGTAATCTCTCCGCCGCTGGGTGGAGTCCTGTCCACAGCAGACCCTCAGCAGCGTGACCACACTCACCGTGTTGAGGACAAAGGACACGAACAGCGACAGCAGCCCCACCAGTGAGAAGATGAGGCAGAAGGCCATGTCCACAGGGAATTGGCTGCTGATGTTGAGGAAGCACCAGGAGCCAGGTGGCTGGAGGTGGTAGCTGCCCAGGCCCAGGATAGGGAGCAGGCTGATCAATCCTGCCGTCACCCACACCGCGGCCACCACGTAGCAGGCTCGGCTCTTGGGAATGTTTGCGGAGCGTGCGAAAGGCCAATTGATGCCCACAAAGCGCTCCACAGCCATTGTGGCCCCTAGGAGCAGTGGACACAGGCCATAGAAGACCATGGACATGCCCATGAAGTTGCAGAAGTGGCATTTGGGGTCCACCAACATCCATCTGGAGTTTGTCATGCGGAAGGAGACCACGATGGAGCCGGTGACCAGCAGGCCCATGAAGTCGGTCACCACCAGCCCGCAGAGGAAGAGGAGGAACGAAGAACGGGAGCGGCTTTTGGTGTGCCGGAAGGTCTTCACCAGCACTATTAAGGCAAACAGGTTGGAGCTGAGGCCCAGCACGCTGAACACGGCGGAGAAGTATTGCGAGGCGACGGTGCTGTTGTTGGAATAATTGTAATAGGTTGCGTTGAGTGGGAAACAGTACGCAATGGACTTATTGCCTGCCATTATGCTAGCGGAGTGAGATGGTGATGTTTCCCCTGTTAATATCCTCTGACAGGTGATTACTTCATCCTGCAGGCCTTGGTCCACATCTGCCAAACTGATTGGAACACATGGTTAATCAAAGGGTTGTGTACAGAAGAAGCTGCTCAGCACTGTATACTGTGGCTGTGTTAGTAAAAATACATTTTACACCATCTGAAAATAGGGGGGGTTAATATGGAAGAAACATAATTTCATGATACTTGAAGACATTTTAATGAAATATGATATGTATGTTATGTATATTTATGCTGTACATGAATGCTTGAGTGGATTGAGTCGGTTAACCCCTCAACATTCCAGGCTTATTTTGCATTAACTACAGTGACTTCAATGCAAACTCATGGAGCTTAGGTTACAGAAGTGTGTAATAAGACTCGGCTTGGTAAGGGGTTAACGAGGGGGTTTGAGAGACTATACTGATTCATTTGGTAGACTATACTGAATGATTCATTTGGTAAGCTATCTGGTTACACGATCAATTGGAATAAAAGTTAATTTATGCCACTCACTCAAAATTTAGATCCTGTCTTTTTGAATTCATTACCATTCAAACTGGTGAATACGGTATCTTTTTCATATCTCGGTCTTCGAATTCCCACAAACCCAGAATTGTTGTATACGCTAAGCTTTCAGTGTATGCTTGACAAGCTTAAGACAAATGTTGAAAAGTGGAGACTACTTCCTTTGTCAATGATGGGACATTAATGCATTTAAAATGGTGATGTTACCAAAATTTTTGTATCTTTTTCAGAATTTACCAATTTACTTGCCTGTATCTTTTTTTAAACGGTTAGATACAATTATTTTGTCATTTGTTTGGGCCTGTAAGACTCCTCGTATTTCGAAAGCTCATCAAGCTGCGGCGGGCGGACTGGGCTTGCCAGTGTTTAAATACTATTATTGGGCGGCTAATGCCAGGGCTCTGGCCTATTGGCAGTGGGAATCTCCAGACCAGGCATCACTGAATCCATTACGGATTAAGTTGGAGGCTGTGTCTCTCCCAGGTTCCTCTCTTCCAGTCTACTAGGGCTGTTGTTGGCAACAATTTTAAAGTCAAGAGCTCATTTAGGATTCTTAATCAGATTAAGTGTTTTACTAAAGCTCCATCAACTTCTATCTATGCTCCAATTTTACACAACCACTTATTTCAGCCTCCTCAGCTGGATGGGGCATTCTCTGTGTGGAAGGACATAGGATTACAGTGTACTGGGGACTTTTATGTAGATGGGAGATTTATTTCTTTTGAGCAGCTCAAAGAAAAATGGTCTTTCTCATTTACATTTTTTTCAGTATCTACAGTTTAGGCATTTTGTTAGAGAAAATATTCCAAACTTTACAGTCAAACCTGATGACCGTCCACTTTTTGAATTGTTTCATCTGGTCCCTCTTCTAGACATTTGGTGTCCCACTTTGTATCAATCATCATTTCACCCCCCAGCACCGACCATCTTAGGGAGGCCTGGGAGCATGAGCTTAATAGCCCTTTAGCAGAGGGGGTTTGGACGGAGAACCTGTCCAGGACATCACGCTGCTCTATAAATTCTAGATATAGGTTGATCCAGTTTAAGGTGATTCATAGACTTTACTACTCCAAAGTTAGATTAAGCAAAATGTACAGTTTTGTGTCTTTGGTCTGAGATAAATGCAAAACAGACGAAGGATCTTTAGGACACTTGTTCTGGTCTTGCCCTTTGGTGCAGAACTTCTGGTTAAGTGTTTTTCAGTGGTTCTCTGAAATACTTAGCACACACTTACATCCTGACCCTCTAATTGCGATCTGTGGACTCTCAGATCCAATGTCTACCTTTCCATATGTTCAACAACAAGCCTTAATGGCTGGTATGGTTGCGGCTAATAAGGTTATTCTTTTAAACTGGAAATCAGCTTCTCCACCATGTTTTAAACATTGGTTATCAGAGATGCTTCAAATTATTACAATGGAGAGGTTGCGTAGTGGTGACTCAGGAGCACAGAGACGGTTTAACTTGGTTTGGGATCCATTCTTGGACCATCTAAAATGACCTTGAATGTATTTTTTGTTTTCTTCTCTCTCTTTCCCTATTCTTCTTTTTTTGTTCAATTAATGGGTGTTTGGGCTATGCTCGGGGATGGTGGGTTTGTGGTGTTGATGGGTTTATGTCTATTTTGTGTTGTATTGTTTAAATGAATTAGAATTTGAAAATAAAATATAAAAAAAACAAGGGGTTTGAGGTCTCAGGATTCATGTAGTAAAATCGCTATTTGGGTCCTCATTACATTTCAGAGTAGAAGACGGAGAAAATATGCAGACGAACAACTCAGCGGAACCTAAGAATAGCTGACCCAGTTGGCACTGAAGTCCCTGTAGTTACTAAATAATAAGCCTTGGTACACAATAAGCCTGGGATTTTAAGGGGTTAACCGGACTGTAAAATGTTTAAAAGAGTGTTGGGCATATTTGCAAGTAAGCATAAATTATAGTGCACTTTACAATTTGCGGAACCTTAATGTGAGCACACTGTTAAAGACCAACCACCACCTACGTTTTTGAAATGACACCCTTTTTAATTAAAAACTATATTACTTTGTAATAATCAAGGACATCATTCACAATTATTATCAGTTCAGTCTCTGCAGCGCTGAATCTATGTCCCATTGCCAGGCCGCCACTGTAAATAAGACTATGTTCTTAATGGTTTACCTGGTTAAATTAAAGGCAAAATAAAAAACAATATGCAAATCAGTCAAACACTGATACTGCCCTGATGACGACGTCCATCTCGACCAGTTTGAAACACTGAACACAGTCATAAATAAGCCAAGTTGGCGTCACTCTCCTACCTAATGTTAGTTAAGGTTAGCGGTGTGAGAAGCTGCCACACATTCAATATGGAGAATGAAGACGTGTCGTACTTATTCAAGTATGTTTTTATGTTTATACAATTGTGAATGTGCACTTTCCATAAACACACGATGAGTTTGGATTTCTTGTATGCTCAGCTAATCACTCCCATTCCACGCTGTCTTCATTCTGCCAGTTTTCTCCCCCTCTCTCTCTCTCCTTCTCTCTGTTTATACTTGTTTACTGAGACTAAGAAAGATGAGGAATTTTGTGAAAGTGTGAGTTTCATCAGCAATAGGAGACGGGACAGCATTAGTTTCTCTGTTTGCTTTTATGCATCATAGCGTCCACCCTCTTTACCTCTTAACCCCTTAAATTGTCAGGGCCCACTGGCAGGCCTAAAGTTTTATTCACTTCTATAACCTAAGAATAGCTCAGCCAGTTTGTTCCCTGTAGTTACTGAATGATAAGCCTTAGTATGTAATAAGCCTGGATTTTAAAGGGTAAAACCGTCCAAACTCTCCTTCCATTTTGAGCATTTTACAAAGCGGAACAAGGAGTGGACTAATTTGAAACTAGCAGGGTGTCCACTCTTTAAGGACGTGAATGAGAGGTTGCTAACTAGGCCGCATACTCTAGCTTGTTGCCAGAAACAGTGCACTGTAAAAAATGATTCAATGTTTTAGCTTTAAAAAGTTAGTAACCTGGGGCCGTATTCCAGAAACTCCCTATCTTTTTGTCTTAACTTAAGATCTCACAGGTCAAGATAACATTTTTCACAAATTTGTATTACAGAAGCAAATCTGACCCTAATTTAATAATCTTATCTTATCTTACAGCATCTTATCTTACATCAAGTTAGGGAATTTTAACTTATTTGATAGAAGTCGACAATCAACTGTCATGTCTGTTACATAGTAACCGACCATACGCAGACAGCTGACACGTAAACACATAATCAAGCTAGTTAGCCAGACAGCTAACATTAGCTACTGTTACTGAGGTAAAAAAAGGTCAAATAAAACTAGCAATAGCGTGATAAACTGAGTTAGGAATATTGTGTCTGCACTTTGTGCTGTTTATCAGAGCGTCGCTGCTCTCAGTTTCAGTTTCATTTCCCAAACGCTTTAGCCGACAGACACACTTTCAGCTCTGTCTCCGCATTGTTCACCACCATCACTGTAATATTGTATCTAACAGGTTTTCATCAAACATTACACCCGAAGGTAATAAGAGGGGATGGTGGAGATCGTGTCTGCAGCGTCTGAGCTTTTAAAAAACGCTGTTTAAAAAAAAAACAAAAAAAAACGTCAAAGCACCGTTTTCAGTGTACATAAATGTAGCGTGAATATGCTACTTATAGTAAACTGTGCTGCCTGACACTGCATAAAACAATAGAAACAGACGGTTAAAACAGAAGTTAAGACACTGTTGGGGTTTATCATAAAGTTAGGAAAATATTTATGATATTTTGGCAACTTAGGACGTTTCTGTAAAACCGTTTTCTTATCTGGAAATAAGATAAAATTATAGACTTAAGAACTGTTGTTCTGTAATGGCTTCTGTCCTAATGTCAGTCTTAACTGAAGTTACCGTGACAACAAAGCAGATAAGATATGATCTCAGACTTAAGCATTTTCTATAATACGGCCCCTGGTTGCCTTAATTTTTTTATTCACTGAACTTCAAATAATAAGTTAACCGAATGTAAAACACAGATTGTTGTTCTTTTAGTTCACTATTGGAATTCAGTGAGCTCCAAAATTGAAGGCAACCAGATCACTTACTTTTTTAAGTTAAAACACTGAATCATTTTTACAGTGTGAGAATATATTTCTCTGACAAAATAACCTGAAGGTAGGGACAATATGTCACAATATGCTTTTCTGAGCACATAAAGGATCTCACCAGTACTTAAATATACTTTCCAACTCCATGCTTCATTACAAAGAGAGCATAAATAGTCCTGTTTAATTGGATTTATGCAGTGCAGTGTGTAAAATTTTGAATACAAATCACTGCATTCATAGTTTTTGACAGTATTTTTACATGTGGCACTACATTTTTGATCTGGTCTCACTTATTGAGATGTCAAAAACAAATATTGTCATATCATGTGTCATGAAAAATTTCTGAAATCATGCTATTACTTTTTTGTCATATTGCCCACCTCTACCTGAAGACTCCTGAAGACTACTGAGGAGAAAAGACCTTGTGTAAAAGATGGTGAGTCC